CCAAATTTATGAGAATCCTAACAACAAATGTCTACTATAATTTTATTTGCTATTGCGAATCCTGTTAAAATGGCTGCCACATTTGATTACTTACAGTAATGGCAATGTTTTTAAGTGCACTATATAGCCTTTTAACATAACATTTTTTAAAATATTTTACAAGATGTGTCATTTTTAATTGCATTATCACATAAACTTTTTACCAAGAACATTAGTCTACTAAATTTCATTAAGTGTAATGTGTGTACTGAAAACCGAATGCTGCTAGGTTGGCAACCACTATAAAAGCTATTGGCATTCATTTACATGCTAGGTTAAGGGTGCGTGTGCATGTGTCTGTGTAGTAGGCAGCATGTCTGTTTGTCTACCAGCTACAGCAAGGTCATAAACCTCACAACAGCCACTTTCATTGCGTCCTGTCATCAATTTAAATCATGGGGTTAACGTTAGTTGGCGACAGCTGGTATGAACCCTGCTGGTTTTCATTTCAACGAGAAACGACGTTGATCAGCAGAAGATGCTACCTTAAATGATTTCCACACGGAACTTTGCTAACAAGACTGCGACAGTGGCGGGTGGAGGTGTGGGGTGGGTTCTCAAATATCTGAATACTAAAACTGAAAACAGATTACCTATCCACCAAACAAATATTCAAATAGTTGGATATTTGGGTCCAGCCCTATTACCTATAAGATATGATCTGTACGTATAAAGTATCAGAAAAATGCTTTAATTTCACAGAGAAATTAAATCTGATTTAGTTAAATATTTAACAGGATAGTCAGGTTTAAGATAAAAGCAACTTACTGACTATTGTATCTCCTAAGGCCACAACATCAGAACAAATAGAGGAACAGCACTGTTGAGTTTTAATGTTTTATGCATGACATCAGCAAAATCTGACTTGGCCATGGAAATGACTGCATGCAGAAGTGGTGAGAAGTGAGCCAGAAAAGCAATCTCTTCCCAGTGATGGACAGAATCTGCCAGTACAACTCTCCATTCCTTCTTTCATCCTTGCATTAACACAGACACAGACACACACACACACACCTTACTTTCTATAACCTCTGTTCTTTTCTTCTTCATTCTCCTGTAGCATCCTCAATATCCACTGAGCCACTCCCTCTGCGGTCAGATAGAGGCCAACACTTCAGCATATTGCAGCACAGTGTGTGCACACTTAGGGATGCACATACACGCTCCACAAGCACACTTACATCGGGCTGTTATAGTATCAGCTTACTTGCTTTGGGAAACACAAGCCATGATGTGAGCACTTACAGGCTAAAACCTAAATAACCTCCTGTCTGTCTCCAACAACTCTAGGCCATCTGATTAACAACAAATATTATTTCTCCAGTTAAAAGAGTTTCAGTACAATATGTCATATGTCCAGCTAACTCTGCAGCTATTAGCTATGCAAACTGTCATCTCAGTCCCACTTGATGAACAGGTGTAAAAGCTGGCATCCCAGACATTTTATGAACAAGACAAGACACTGTTGATTATACAAAGAAACAAAATAGAGCAATGGGAAAACACAAACACATGCACACTGCTGCGAAAAAGTGAAGGTGCAGGTGCAGAGGTGAAAAGCAGCTGTTTGTTCCAAACCCAGTGCCACTCCTAGCTCATGACTCTCATTGTACACACAAAAACACACTTCAAAATTTCCACACTGACAGCTGAAAGCACAGCAGCTGTACACAGGGACGGGCATGTTGCTCTCTGTGCTCTTGTTCATCTGTGTTGTGTGGTGTGTGCACAGACCTCAGTGCCTATTGGCCAATCAGATGTAAATCAGCAACACACTCAGTCAGTCAACTGATAGCTTGGTGTTGGATAACAGATATGAGATGCCTTACACATAGTATCATAAATGTAGAAGCAAATGTTATCCAGGTCAAGATGTCCTCATATCACAAATGTTTGAGTCACACTATCAAGTATAGTGTCGTCCTTTAAAAAGTCATTACCCATGTTACGTAACAGTCAAAATGAATTAGGAGGATGCAACAGAACCAAGATAATCATTTACAATTCTTTTTAAGAACATACATTTTAAATATATTTTATAATGGCATTTAGTAAGAATCAATTTTTGACAAATAATGCACCTGTATCTAAACTAAATACCTGCCTGTAAAGGAAAAAAAAAATTACAATAATCTGCACTGCCACCTAAGAAACTTGGAATGCAAAACAAAACAGCCTTACCTTGAAGCATTGCTTGAACTGAGTTAATGTGCATCCAACATACCTGATGTTGCAGAAAGGTTTTTGGTGGTACTATTTTAGGACAGATGCTAACAACCAAAAGTCTATAACTTTCTGGGGCATTCAAGAGCAACGACTG